AAAAGAGAAAAAGCCACCTAAATTTCACCACGTGAGAAGGCCTTCTCCACCAACTCCCCCTTGGCTTGTCCACGTTCTCCCAGGATCTCCCATAGACGAACCACGGGCTTCACCTTACTCCTTTGCGGCATAGCACACAGCCAGCAACTGCCTGTGCTCATGTCTTGCTGCTCTTGCCGAGTATGAGAGCTGTCTTCATGACGTCAATTCTCCAAGGGTATTGCCTCATCTAATGTTCCCTCTCTGCTCACAGATTGTAGTCGGGTTCCTTCAGTGTCTTTCAGTCGGTCTCTCTCGGTCTACCTCTCACCATACTGCCAGTCAGCGTTCTCAGCCGGGCGTCTTCCTTAACATGCTCCTCCCTCTGCCTGTCAGCATGCCGATCTTACGTCATGACGATGTGTGATCATATGGCAGCCAGGCAGCCTGGATTCCAAATTTACACAGTAAAATAGAAAAGGAATTGGGGGCACACCTGGAACATGCATTGTGTAACAATGGTGCTGCCGCAACTACCAAAATTTAAATATAAGATTAAGGAACAGCGCACTCATAAAAATAAATTTCTAAATTCTATAAGACTACTTAAAATTGCCTATCTCAGCAAACAAATATGGGGATCCACTACTTCACAGTAACCTAATATCGGTGGGTCCTACACTAATTCCAACGTGGGAGACAAATCAAATAGTAATAATTCAAAATAAGCTGAATTGTATAAAAATCTATTGTAAGAGTATTGTGAATATATATAATGCAAAAGGACCACTCTAGGCACCCAGACCACTTCAGCTTAATGAAGTGGTCTGGGTGCCAGGTCCAGCTAGGGTTAACCCATTTTTTTTATAAACATAGCAGTTTCAGAGAAACTGCTATGTTTACAAATGGGTTAATCCTTCCTCCAAAGCCTCTAGTGGCTGTCTCATTGACAGCCACTAGAGGCGCTTGCGTGCTTCTCACTGTGAAAATCACAGTGAGAGCACGCAAGCGTCCATAGGAAAGCATTGTAAATGCTTTCCTTTGAGACCGTCTGAATGCGCGCGCAGCTCTTGCCGCGGGTGCGCATTCAGCCGAATGGGAGGAGAGGAGGGGGATCGCAGTTCCCCGCCCGGCGCTGGAAAAAGGTAAGTTTTAACCCCTTTCCTCTCCCCAGAGCCGGGCGGGAGGGGGACCCTGAGGGTGGGGCCACCCTCAGGGCACTATAGTGCCAGGAAAACGAGTATGTTTTCCTGGCACTATAGTGGTCCTTTAATGTGATAAATGCAGTAGTGAATATATACATAAAAGCACTATAATTGTAATTGTTACATAGCTGAAAAGAGACTTGCGTCCATCAAGTTTAGCCTTCCTCACATATGTTTTTGCTGTTGATCGAAAGAAGGCAAAAAATCCTAGTCTAAAGCGCTTCCAATTTTGCAATAAACTAGGACAAAATTCCTTCTTGACCCCAAAATAGCAGTCAGATGTCTCCTTGGATCAATCAGCTATTACCCCAGTAATTAGAAATTATATCCCTGTACATTATGTTTTTTGCATGTATTTATCCAAGTACAGTTTAAACATTTGTGTGGACTCTGATAAAACCACCTCTTCAGGCAGAGAATTCCATATCCTTATTGCTCTTACTGTAAAAAAAAACTTTTCTTTGCCTTAGAAGAAATCTCCTTTCTTCCAACCTATATGTATGACCTTGTGTCCTATGTATAGCCCTGTTTATGAATAGATTTACAGATAATGGTTTGTACTGGCCATGAATATACTTGTATAATATTATCATATCCCCTCTGAGGTGCCATTTTTCCAAACTAAAGAGATTTAAATTTTTTTACCTTTCTTCGTAACTAAAATGCTCCATTCCTTTTATCAATTTTGTAGCTCGTCTCTCCACTTTTTCTAGTGCCATGATATCCTTTTTTAGAACCGGTTCCCAGAATTGCACAGCATATTCAAGGTGTGGTCATACCAGTGATTTATAAAGAGGCAAAATTATATTTTCATCCTGAGAATTTATGCCCCTATTTATACATGATAAAACCTTACTGGCCTTAGCAACTGCAGATTGACATTGCATATTGCTGCCTAATTTGTTGTATACGATTCCCAAATCCTTCTCGTGTGTGGTTATCCCTAATTCACTACCATTTAGGGTGTAAGTTGCTTGTGGATTCTTGACCCCGAAGTGCATAACTTTGCATTTCTCTACGTTAAATTTGATCTGCCATTTTAGTGCCCAGTCCCCCAATCTATTCAAATCCTTCTGCAGCAAAGAAATATCCTGCTCACATTTTATTACTTTACAAAGTTTGTGTCATCTGCAAACACTGAAACATGGTTTCCAATACCTATTTCAAGATCATTTATAAATATGTTAAATAGAAGCAGTCCCGAAATAGAACCCTGAGGGACACCACTTACCACTTTTGTCCAGCCTGTAAATTTACCATTAATGACAACCCGTTGTACTCTATCCTTAAGCCAAGGTTCTACCCGAGAACAAGAATAATCATCTAGACCAATTTCTTTTTTTTTTATTTATAATCTTTATTTTAAGGGTTTCCCCCCTTTTCTTTTTTTTTTCCACAATACAATACAATACAACAATTACAAACAAATGATAGAGAAACAATTCCTATATAAGATGTTCATCCATAAGATGTTTCTTTATACATTTCAATTAACTAAAAACGAACAATACTTTAGACTTACACATCTACATAAACAGGACAAGACAGTGCAGCAAGAGAGAAGGGAAGAAACTCATCGAGAAAGTATATATATTTATCTCATAATATATATTGTATTATATTGTCCAAAGCATTAACAGTCAACCTCATTATTCACCTTGAATTTATATATATAAATAAAGGCCCCTCTATTTATCAATCTTCTCCCAACATTTCAACCACATTGTTGTTTTCCTACTTAATTTTTGTTTGCTCAATAACACTTCCATTTTTACTTGAAACTTAAGCTGGGCTTTGACTTGATCCCAGGGAACTTCACTATCGTCTTTCCATCTTCTTGCAATCACAATTTTTGTTGCTAAGAAAAGATGGATAAGAATAATTTTCAAATCTTTTGTCATTACCGGCCAGTTTAGATGAAGCAAAACAGTCTCCGGAGAGAGCCTCAGCTCAAGGTTCAAGTCTATGGATACAAACTTTTGTATGTTAAACCACAAATTGTTCAGTTTACTACACTCCCACCAAATATGCTTAAAAGTACCTGTATTTGTACCACATCTCCAACATAGATGGTTTGCTGAAGAATACATTTTGTTCAGTTTGTCTGGTACTAGGTACCATCTATTTAGAACTTTAAAATGAGTTTCTAATAGATTTAACGAGTGTGTATACTTCGAAGCTTCTGTCAATGAGAAACCCCAATGCCTAATATTTATATCCATATTTAATTCTTCTTTCCAAGCGGTTATGGCTGTTGGAGTTTTTGATTTATTACACATTTTGCTTAATACCAAAGCTTTTGAAAGTGGTTTATTTATCTTATCTGTATTAAAGAGTATATTTAACCCATTATTCAAATTAATGTTTGATACAATTAAATGTGTTATCAAGAAACTTTTAAGTCTTAGATAATTGAACAACTCTTTTGATGGTAAGTTGTATTCCTGTGTTAATTGAGCAAAGGTTTTAATTTTATCTTTTACAAGTAGTTGAGACAGTCGCAAAATTCCTGCTTGATTCCAGTTTTTTAAATTTATATCTGCGACTTGATGTTCTACAAAATCTAAACCTAAATAAGTTGGAATTTTGTTTTCTATTTTTAGGATTTTTTTAATTTTAAGCCAACTATTCATTAAGTGTGTTAATGTTATACTAGGATAATCTTTTTTTTGAAAAAGTTTGGTAGTATTCCAGATTAAACAATCCAAGCTGGGGGTTCCTCCTGCAGTAAGTTCTGTTTTATACCAACTTTCGTTTTTGTTTTCTTCTACTTGCATCCTGTATATATGTAAAATTATCGCTGCCCTATAATTATTTAATATTAGGGGATAAGCCAGTCCTCCTTTATTCAGTTTTTGTGTTAGTGTTGACTGACTCAGTCTTGGTTTTTTGCTTTCCATATATACTGAGTAAAACTTCTCTGTATTAATTGCAACCACTGGTCAGAAATACTTAATGGCAACATTTGGAACAAGTAGTTCCATTTTGGAATGACGTATGAATTCACTACATTAATCCTTCCCCAGAAAGAAATTTCTAAATTTCTTCGGTTTTTCAGCCATTTGTTAAGATTTTGCAATAAATCCAAAAAATTAGTTTCCATCATTTTATTTACATCTCTAGTCAGTTTAACTCCCAAATAATCCATATTATTTTCGACCCATAAAAAATTATATCTATCTTTAATCTTATTTTTCATTTGTGCATCTAAATTAATGTCCAGAATCATAGATTTATTTATATTTAATTTATAATTAGATATTTTACTGTAGTTGTCAATTTCTGACATTAAAAAATCTAATGAAATTTCCGGTTTTGTTATGGTAATTAGGATGTCATCAGCATATAAACTTAATTTCTGTTCTACATCTAATGTTTTGTGGCCATAGATTTTTTTATTGTTTCTAATATTCTCGGCTAATGGTTCAATAGAAAGCAAGTATAATAACGGTGAGAGTGGACATCCCTGTCGTGTACCATTTTTCAGTTGGAACCATGGGGCTATGATGTTTGGTCCTTTAGTACGTGCTGATGGATTTGCATAAAGGGCCATGATGGCTTTCTTAATCCAACCGTCAAAACCATAGTGTGACAATATTGCCTCCAAATAAATCCAGTTGACTCTGTCGAATGCTTTTTCAGCATCAATCGACAGAGCCAAAACTGGAACTCTTTTTCTATTAGCGTCATCTAAGATGTTGACAATTTTCCTAATACATGTATAAGAGTTTCTGCCGGGAACATAACCTACTTGATCTTGATGTATGATCAGTGGTAAAAGTTTTTTAAGTCTAGCGGCCAACACTGAAGCATATAGTTTAGTGTCAACATCTATCAAGGATATTGGACGGTAATTTTTAACATCAGTAGGATTTTTGTTTTGTTTTAAAATTGGTAGAATATTAGCTTTTAACATCTCTGTTGGAAGAGATCCTCTTTTAGCCGCACTGTTAAAGGCACTAGTCATATAAGGGCAAATTGATTCTTTGAATATTTTATAAAATAAATTACTAAATCCATCTGGACCTGGGGTTTTATACTCCTCCAAATTATTTATAGCTTTCATTATTTCATCTATAGTTATATCTTTATTTATTGCTTCACTTTGTGATTCTGTTAATTTGAACTTGTTTATTTTTTCTAGATATTTTTTTATATCTTCATCTGTCGTAGTTTGAGGAATGTTGTATAACTTACTATAAAAATCATTGAATTGTTGTCCTATTAGTTTTGGAGTTACTACAGTTGTTCCATTGTTAATAAGTTTTTCTACTTTATTTATACCCTTTTGTTTTCTTAATTTTTGTGATAGCAGTTTGTCGGCTCTATTACCCTTAGAATAATATTTTAATTTTAATCTATCTAAGCTTTTAACTGTTCTTTCCATTAATTTTTGGTTAATTTTGTCCTTTATTGCCGATATTTCTTTGGAATTTTCAACTGTTGGATTATGTTTATTGTTTTGGGTCAACTTCCCTAACTGACCATAGAGGTGAGATAGACTAGTACCCCTATCGGTTTGGCTTTGGAGTTTAATGAAATAACCTCTTATTACTGCTTTAAAGGCGCACCACAAAGTGGATGGATCAATATCCTCTGTGTTATTTTCTTTAAAATAATTACCTATGTTTACATCCATGAATTTTTTATTTGTTTCAAAACTAAGCAATCTGTCATTTAGACGCCAACTATATGGCTTTTTTGTATTTTTTCCTACTTCTATTACACATACTACACCGTTATGATCTGTCCAAACTGCTTCGTTTATATTTACTTTTTGAATTTTATCGATTAGATTAGGATCAATCCAAATCATATCTAACCTTGAATAAGAAAAATGGACTTTAGAGAAGTGTGTATAATCTCTTAGATTTGGATTGTGAATCCTCCAAATGTCGAACAAATTAAATTCATCCTTTATGTTTTTTAAGGATTTAGCTTGTTTAATTACCATCTTATTTATTTTAACTCCTTTCATAGTTTTTTTTATCTAATTGTGGGTCGATAACTGCATTAAAATCTCCAGCCAATATTAAGTTTCCCACTTTTACTTCTTCTATTTTTTCTAAGATAGATCTTAAGTGAGAAGCTGGTGAATAGTTTGGGAGATAGACATTACAGAGTGTAAATATCTTAGAATTGATTTTACATATTATTATCAAGTATCTACCTTCTACATCTTGTATTTGTTGAATTATTTCTACCTCTATTTTTTCACTGAATATTATGGCTACACCACATTTTTTTTTATCTCTATTTGAGGCTTGTATAATGAGCGGGAATTTTTTTCCACCCCACGTTTGTTTATCTGACTGTCTCCAATGGGTTTCTTGCAGAAATCCCAGATCAATATGTTCCGTGACCAAATATTTATATACTAAAGACCTTTTTGTTATTGTATTCATACCTTGGACATTAAGAGTTAACATTCTTATCATTAGAGTTTCTCAAATCTCTTTCCTTTCATCTCGAGATAGTAAACTTCCCTTTGATCCTCTATTGCTATACAAACACACAAAAAACAAAAAAACATATATCTAAAACTATAGGAGGATATCATCCTCCTTAAGCACATACACTATTGACTCACCAACAGGAGAGTCTGTCTAGTCCTATGTCTATTAAATAGACACTAAGTAGGATTGTCCGGATTTGGGATTTGGGCGATGTTCTATAATAAAACCCTTCAGTCTATTTTACAACAAAAGGGAGAGAAAAAAAAAAAAAAAAACCCTAATCACTCAGTTAAATATAGCCATTATAAAATAAGTGTCAATTAAGTGAAAAATATTTATAATGATCCATTTATCATCGTGTTTCATTACATTATTTCCATGTGACCTTTCTTTTTCCCTATTTCTCCTTTCTGTGCCCTTTATATGCAGTGATAAGTGAGTCAATCCATACGGTTTTTCTAATTCAATCTTGTGTACCTATATACAGATTTAATTTTTAACAAATTTAATCTTATTGAACCAACTCATTATTTCTTATTAGTGTTAATTATAATTACATGTGTCGTATATTGCAAATAACAACCTTTATTTCTAAAAATAAACTCCTTAGTGAATCTATCTTTCCATTCTATCTTCTTTCTATTTCTCTTCCCATTCCCCTTTTCTTGCTAATATATGTGCAGATAATTTCAACAAATTTTGTCCTCTTTTACAAAAAAAAAAAAAATCTCCAGCCAGAAAGAAACACATATATTAACAGCCTAATGGGTAGTCCTCTTTTTCATTTCTTTTCTCTTTCTCCCTCCCTACGGCCGTCTTAACTAAAATGTGAACAGATATTTATAAAGACTATTGTGTCTCCTTTTACTTCAACAACTTCACATTGTTTTCATGTGCTTTTATACATTACAAATATCCTAAACTGCAGCAGTATGCATAAAGAATATTGAAGATGCTATTGTTATGCATTGCAAATAGCGTAAGCTTCAACTATATGCATATAAAAACTACTTTTCTTATGTAACGTTATAATAATAGATTCTCTTCCTTCTTAGAATTGACATTGAAAGATTACATATATCACAAAAAAAAAAAAAAAAATTTTTTTTTCTCTCTCTTTTCTTCCTTCCTTTTTCGTTCTACTTCCGCAGTCTAGTTGTTTTCATATTTGAATTCTTGCTAACCAACTTTTCGCTTCTTCCGGGTCAGTGAAGGAAAGTCTTTCTTGTCTCCAAATGAATTTCAAGGAAGCCGGAGTATTCCACTGAAATCTAATGTCTTTTTTCCTCAGAAAGTCCGTAAGAGTTGAGAAAGACTTCCTCCATGTTCTAGAAAAATAAGATAGATCTTGCAGAAAGTATATATCTTTATAGACAGGATTTTCTAAGGGGTTAGTACGTCTGGCTTTAATCAAGTTGTTTTTAGCTGAAAGTGAACGGAAGCTCACTATAACATCTCTTGGGAAATGTGCTGCAATTACGTTAGGTTTTCGTATTCGATGAAATTTTTCTATTTGATAATCAGTTATCTCAGGAGAGACTTCTTTAAATAGACAGCATAAATAATCTTTTAATTTCTCTGTTGTTATATCTTCAGGTATTCCTCTAAGTCTTAGATTAAATTGTCTTGATCTGTCTTCTAGGGCGGCTATTTTATGTTCCAAGATTGAAGTTTTATTTGTTAATGATTGCACTGTTTCATTAACTGTGCCTAATTGATTGTCGAACAAGACAATTTTTTTTTCCATAGCTTGCACTGATATAGCAATTCTGTTAGTATCTTGTTTTATATCTTCAAGACTCTTAAGCATATCTTGTTTTAACATATTGAATTGAGCCTCTAGTAGTGATTTAAGCTGATCCTGTAGAATTTCTTTCATTGTTTCAGGAACTGATGATAATTCTTGCATCATTGAAGGATCCATATTGGTGTTAAGAATATTTACTGGATTTGTTTCGTTATCACTTTTACGTTCTTGTATGTCTTTTGATGGGGTCGAAAAGAAACCAGACATCCTTTTTTCTACTGGATGAACTGACTTATTTTCCTTATTTTCTTTCTTTTTTTCCATAGCAGTTTTTCTAGTTGCCATTTTGTTCTTAAAAAAAAAAAAAAAAGCTGTCAAGCTATATTTTGCTTCCCTTCTCTTTCTTCTTTCTTGTTCTTTACTCTACTTATATAGAAAAGTATGTATATATTTAATAATAGCAATTTCACTGCTTGTACCTCTCGGAACTTATTATAGCAGTTGTTTTAGCTTACTTGCCTTTATTAAAGCCAGTTTTAATGTTTGTTTTATATTTTCTTTTTTTTTCTTTTTTCTTTCCCTTCCCTTCCTCTTCCCTCTTTTCCTTTTCTTCTCTGCTTTCTTTATCCTTTCTTTTATTTTCTTTCTGCCCCTTTTTTTTTGATTTGATTAGGCTTATATATCAGCCTCAACTTGTCATTTGCTTTAATTGCAACTCTCAGTTGTCAAACAGAATATATGAATTTTAAATATGTCTAAGATATAAGCAGTTTATCAAGAGGTTAGGGAGAAATTCACTTTGCAATACTCACAAGATTTACAGCTTCCATCTCATTATTATAAAGAAGTCCTCCTTTACTTTTATCTGTCTTTATCTTCATTTGGCTATTCAGTATGCCAGCAGCTCATGAAAATATCTCGAAGGCAGTTTATCTCTTTCAACAGTTTTTTTCTTTTTATTGAGCGGAGTGTAGCAGCTCGGCCAAGGCTTAGATGCTCAGTATATGAGTTTAATTAATATTCTCCTTATCGGCCTCTGTCCCAGCAGCGTTTTCTTCCGGTCGTCAAACAGCCGCCAAACAGCCGCCAAACATATTCAGCGTGTGTACTTTCCTCCACGCTTCTCTGCCCACTCACCGCCCGTTCACCGTTCCTCCGGACCCTCCCACCTCTTCGCACGCGTTACGTCATCACGTTGCGTACGTCTCATCTAGACCAATTTCTTTTAGTTTGAAGACTAATCTATTGTGAGGAACCGTATCAAATGCATTGGCGAAATCCAAGTAGATCATATCCACTGCAACACCCTGATCTATACTTCTACTTACTTCTTTGTAGAATGAAATTAAGTTAGTTTAACATGACCTGTGTTTCATAAAACAATGCTGATTATTGCTAATAATAAAGTTTTTCCCAATGAATTCCTGAATATTATCCTTTAACAGCCCTTCAAATATTTTTCCAGTCACAGAAGTTAAACTCACAGGTCTATAATTTTCAGGCAAGGATTTTGAACCCTTTTTAAATATAGGAAAGACATCTGCCTTTCTCCAATCCTCCATACAATACCTGAAACAAAAGAATCTTAAACAATTAAATACAGAGGTTCACTTATTTCCCCACTTAGCTCCTTAAGTACTTGTGGGTGAATACTGTCAGGCCCCGAGCTTTATTTACATTAATTTTCTTTAACAGCTGTAGTACCTTGTCTTGAGTTATCCAGTTATCCAAGTTTATTGCAGCAATCATTTGCATATATTTTGCCATAGGATCCTCATTAATATATACTGAAGAAAGATAGTTATTTACAATTTC